GGTAGGGCATGAAGATTAAATTAGTAAGATAAGGAACATAAGTGGGTATAATGCTAAATGACAAACATGGTACCAGTTCATAATTCATTTTCATGTTTAATGTAAATTTTCATTTTAATGTATTGCAACAGCTTCTTTGGTTTGTGCTGGAGTTTTGAAAAAAGTGTCTTGCTGAAGAGCGTAAATCCAACTTGCTGTAGGATTTGTGATCTGTATTACAAATGCATCACGCTTTGTATATACTGTTGAGAATTAATGTGATGTGATGTTGTGTTTTGAATGCAGTATGGAAAACTGTTAAAAGTAGGGGGGGGAATATTTATCTATGTATGCCACTAGTTCTGTTGTTCAGTTCATTGTGTTAATTAACTGTAACATCAAAATAGCTAATGGTTTGGTTGAAATTATTTCTACCCCCTTCTAGGGATCAGATGATTGCCTTGTAAAAATTTGGGCAACAGATGATGGAAGGTTGTTGGCTACCCTGAGAGGGCATGCAGCTGAAATATCTGATATGGCAGTGAACTATGAAAACACCATGATAGCTGCTGGAAGCTGTGATAAAATGATCAGAGTTTGGTGCCTTCGAACTTGTGCACCCTTAGCAGTTCTGCAGGGCCACAGTGCATCTATAACATCATTGCAGGTAGGTTTTTGCTTTGCAAACTCACTTGAGCAATAAAAGGCATCATTTGACTGAAAAAGGAACCACTCAAGAATGTCCCATGTAATAAAAATGTGTGCCTGGCAACTAAGCCGTGAAGTGAGAAGGAATTTCCACAGTACACCTTGTGAAATAACACGTGTTTGTTGTCAAAATGCCTGACCCTTGAAAAATGGCAGACATAATCCTTGTTTAAAAAAATTGCATGACGCGTGTGGGCAGTGCTGTTTTCAAGTATCATTCCTTTGCAGGCTGTGATTCTGAGCGCAGGTACATTGAGTAAGAGCTGCAGTCACTGCTAATAGTTTGGTTTGTTTCTCCTTAGAGTTGCACACTGTTGCACAACTTGGGTTATGGGGAGGGAGAATGCAGAGTGCTTTGGCAAGTAACCGAGAAGGGTATTCTGAAGGAAGAGAGTGAGAAGCATCGTGTTACTTTGGTTTTCATTGCAATTTATTGGGGTATTTTTTTTCCTTAAGTATGGTTTGATACATGAATTTTTTTGTGAGAAGTCAATGACTTGAGGAACTTACTAGCACATCTGGAATTAATTAATTTAGATTTTTTTTTAGATTAACCAGAGACCTTTTCTTTTTTCTTCCCTCACTTCCCCCAGTTCTCTCCACTGTGCAGTGGCTCAAAGAGATACTTATCTTCAACCGGGGCAGATGGAACAATATGCTTTTGGCTGTGGGATGCTGGCACCCTTAAAATAAAGTTAGTTGCTATTTTATTTGTTGCTATTTCTTTGTTGTAATTAAGAATGTTGTTCAAATGTTGGAGAAGAATTTGACTAAAACAACACTTGTCACTGCCTGGTTCACTGTGTGATTGTTGGGTGTGATCTATTTCTGATGTAGCTATAGCTTGCTTGCTTTTAAGGATGAAGTTGGTAATATAACTAACTTGAGGATTTTGTGGAGTGAAGCAAGTAACTATATACCCAGTTTTACTTTATCTCTGTTAATTTAGTAAAAAATGTGTAATGATTTTTTTTTTTAAATGTGATGTCAAAGTTGTCACTTTTTGGTTCTGTTCTCATCTCTTAATCCCAAATGAAATAAAAGTTATGTTGATAAAATGATTGCAATTTAGACTTGAAAATCCAGATTTTTTTAGGAGAAGGTAATGTCCTAGTGATAAATCAGGATGCAATATTTTTGATGTTTGTTCTTCCTTATTTCTATTACCTTTTCATAGTTGCTCTTTACTGTAGCATGGCAGGAGGCAGCATTCTTGGGCAGCTGTGTTTTGGTGGCTGAAGTTGAATCTGAAGTTTGTGCCTTCAAAGTGTAAAATATTAAAAATGTTGTCAGGACCCTCAAATAGAGATAGGTTTTTTAAAATTAACTTGTTCAGTGGGTTTCAAATGCTTTTTGCATTCTTTTCCTTTATCACAAAACACCTGTAGCTCAAAATTGGAAATAGTTGTTTTAGTAATCATTAGTAATTTAGCTTTGGGGATGAGGTGTGTTCTTATGGGTATATTCTCCTGGAATATCTCCATTTTCTTGTAGTTTTGGTATTTGCTGTTAGAATCTCTTTCTTGCAGCATGCCAAGGTTATGCAGGTAGGTTTGCCACTTCTCTGGTTATCTGGACCTCAACTATTTTGATGTTCTCTGGGCATTTTGGCTCTCATTTTTTGATATTGTAGGTGAAGCTGCTTCTCAGGCTATTAAATCTCTGCTGCCCGGTGTACGCTGTAGTCAAAGTGACACTATCCTCCTTACTGAGGAGGTGGCTTACTTGCTTATTCTAATATGCGAAAGGGAGGAATTGCCACCACGTTGTTTTTCTTAAGGTCTCTTATGTCTGAGCTCTTGCTGACAAGATGAAATCTTAATCTGCCTGATTTTTAAACCTTTTGAGCCCACATGTTTCTCTCTCTTTTTTCTTTTTTTAAATTTTTCTCCTTTTCCTAAATAAAGTTTGACTCTATGGAATTGTATTTTGAAACAAATTCTGTCATTAGAGTATAGGGGAATTCCTGAGACTTAAGTGGGTTATACTATATGAGCTGGAAGGTGAATGTTCAGAAATCATGAATATTTGAATGAATCATGGAGTTGGATGGGATTTGTCTTGAGGTAAAACTTAGGGAGTGAGAAAGCTGGCGTCAGTTATGGTAGGGGATTCTCAACTAATTCCTATCCATGGTGATAAGTAAATGTAGAATACAAATTTTCAGTGAGATGCACTTGGCAAATACTAAAGGAATAAAAGATTTTTGAGTAATGCTTTCATGTATAAGTAGTCGCAGCAGATGTGATCAGACAGCAGCATAGAAAAAACAGATTAGTTCAGCGGTCTTGCACAGCACAGCAAGGATCTGGTAACCCAAGTCATGCCAATGATTCATGTTGCTTAATGACAGAGTGCAGAGTAAATTTTGAGACTGGAATTGGTATCATCGTTACCTTCTGTTCTGGAAGTATTTTATACGTTGAGTTTGAGAAGACAGAGGGGCTCTTTAAGCTATGTTTCTTCAGTCTGGGGAAAGATGAGTGCGTGAAGATGAGACGTGTACAGTCATGAGTGTCTTGAGGAGGGCATATAATGAGTAATTGCTTGTTGGCCTTCATTGTACCAGAGGGTATCAAGCGAAGGTAGCCAATTCCAAATTGGAAGGAGGGGGTTCTTTACAAAACACGCAGTTAAGCTATGAAACTCCTTGCCACAGGATATTATTATGCATTATATGAAGAGATTAAAAGGTATCGCTGTATGGTTTTTCTGCTCTTCCACATCCAGTTTTGGCTACTTTGGAGGCAGGATACTGGTCTTCAATCTTTGTTTGAACTTAGTAGAGCAGTTATGTATTTGAAGTAATTGATGCTTTTTGATCAAAGCTAAAACTTCATAAAAATATGGTAAAGTCTAAATAAGAAACAGGCATGTCTTTTGGGACTGGAATATAACTGTCTGTCACTTAGGATATCAAAATAGTTGGGACACCCAGAAAAGTCTTAATGTAGCTCTTCCTGAATTGAACGGTATACTACTTCAGCAGAATTTGTTAGTTACAGGAAGTTTTACTTAATTTGCTAAACTGTAAACTTTTCTAACTGTGATTGTGTTTATTACAGTAAATCATATTAAGTGATACTGGGAAACTAAGACTCCAGTGCAATTTTTTACAAGGAGATTGCATTGTGTCTTGGTAATGGGTGTAGGTTGTCATACAGTTTTCGATGAGGTGATTGCACTTCGTACACCTTTAGATCTGGATCCGCTTCCAGAATTGTGGAAACGTGGCGGGTTCCCTCCACATCCATTCAGTAATGTGCTGGGGGAAAAGAAGCGCCAGTGGTATGAGACCATCAAAGGAGAGAGAAGATTCCTGTTAATTTTTTTCGTAAGGCCCTTTGTGGAATTATTTTTTAACAAATGTGATGTGTAGGCCATCTAGAAGAGAGAATAACTGGTGGGGAGGGAAGTTTGTCCTTCCTTTTGTCGCTATAGTAAAAAATACAGACTTGCTTCTGTTCAGTCTCTAAAAATGAGGAAAGCTGGCAGAGAAAATAAGATCTCTTACCACAATTATTCAGGTTCTGAGCTTGCAGCCCTGTATCTCCGTTCCAACGGCCCTCCCACCACAAGCAAGAGAAATGGGAGCTTTCAGGCAAGACCAAAAGATCCGAGTAGTACAGGTGAAGAGTGCTGTCACATGCTTAAATCAGAACTTGATTTCATGCTCCTTCTGAGCTTGACTGCAGCCTGTCCTTCAAGAATACAATTGCTGTCAGTGATGAAAGTGTGTTACTAAATCGTCCAATACTTTAAATTGGGACTGGTGGTGAAGTCTTGAAATTTTAGCTGCTCAAAAAAAAAAAAAAACCAACCCAAAAAAAAACCCCCAAAAAACCACAAACACTCCCCCCCCACCCCCCTGCTTTTTATACTCAGCTCTACTTGAATCATCTGGCAGTGAGTTAAGATTATGAGCTGTTGGGCAGCCTCATGATAATCATGTGGTTGATCGTAGTTTCAAGATGATTGGCAGTGCCAGCAGTACTTTGCTGAACTTTTTCATAAAATATGGGAAAGGCAGCGTTTGAATATACTACTATGTTCAGTGTGCTCTCGAATTAAAAATAGTCAGTTTTGTTCTTCACTACGCTGAAAACTGTTTCAGTGGAACCCAGCTCGGATGGCTAAGTCTACTGGATCAACTCCCTGTCTTTAACTGAAAATTGGACTTAGTCCCTCCTGGGAAGAATTCCCCCTGAAGGCAATCTTTCTCTGTCAGCTTCTTCAGGAGATGAGGAAACTCAAAATTGTTCTTCGTTCTCCACTTCTAAAATTAGATCAAAATACCAACAGATCATGAAGAACTGGAAAACTCACTACCTTAAAAACTGTATTATTTGCCATTAAAAGGAACTTTGATATCCTTTCAGCCTTCTAATGTCTAGTGCCCTATCTGAGTTCTGTTTTCTGTTTTGTTTTGTCTTTTTAATTTCTGCACATGTTTATTTTGTTTCATTCTTAGATCACGAAAATCCTTGTATTCAGTTTTGCTAGCAGCTCTGCTGCAGTATTAATAGTATCTCTGAAATAAGAGGCTTCCTTATGTTGGTCTCCCAATTTTTTTATAACCTTGTTAATTGAGGCATGTTCCATATCTAGGTCACACATATGGCGCAGACAGGAGATGCTTGGTGACAGAGCTCTGTTTTGATAAACTGCAGAACGACACATTACAGTAGATTTGGTGCCATAGGATGAAACGCAGACATTGGCACGGCTGACCACACAATTCTTGTGTTGTTCAAAGGATCAGCCTTGTTCACGTGTTTCTGTGACTAGCGTGGATGCATGTTCTTCAGTATTACAGAGCCTCCTGTGTGCTCCTCTTCTTTCAGTGAAGACATTTCTGACCAGGCAGTTAACATGTATGCCTAAAAGCAGTAACATTCCAGGTAGATTAATTTGGTTTCCAAATAGAGGAACGGTAAGGTTGGTTGTTGCTGCAGGTAAGGAAGTCAAGGAATGTGGCCTAAACAAGATGGGGAAAACAATTAAAAAATTAGGCAATCAAGACTTTCCCCATATTTAGTCTCCTGTCCCTATTCTGGATGGTGATAGAAAACACATGAGTCGTATCCTGGATCAGTTGACAGTAGGGAGAAGAGAGAAAATCAGCCTTGGGTCATCAGAAATTGAAGAATAATCTGCATCAGGTTTAAGGGAGGATTGCTACAACTGGTCAGTACATCAAAGTTAAATTAGTTGAACTGCAAAATATTTGCATATGTATCTTCTCTGAGAAAGATGCTGAGTTTTCTTGTTATTCTTCTGCCACCTGTTTGGATCACAAGTTTCCAGTGTTAGTCTGTTACTGGCAGACCATATGAACAAGGCAGCAGAACCGTCTCACAGATCTGGGGAGAGGAACTTACTATACTGCTTTTCTTCTATTCTATTTTTTCCCCCCATAATCTTAAAAAGAGGAAAAAAACTTAGGAAAAACACGTGTTGATGATTTTGACGTTCCTGTTTTGGACAAGATGTTGATTTCTCAGTTGTCATCAGTGTGGTGTGATACTTCCCATCTGCTTTCTTAAGGAGAAGGCACTTGATGTTAAAGGGACGGCTCATACATCAGAATTCAAATATGCTTAACCTTGTTTGTTAGCTTGTGAACAAAGGCTTAATTTGGAGAGGTTGTATCACACATCTGTTTTCTGGGAAGAAGTCTTACTTGAGCCACTGCACGTCCAGAGTGAGGGCAGTCTGCAGGGCTTGGATTAGTTAACCATTCCTGCACTATTGCTGCATTTTGAAGAAGATGAACTTGTGAGATGTTTATATGAGTGAGTGTGTCCCTTAGTTGAGGCACATACACCAAATTGCTTCTTTGCTGCTTTGAGTGCAGGTTATTTTTTGACTGCAGCCCCTTTCATTTCTGGATCTGTGCTGAACTTAATACAGATCTCCTCCAGGAGGAAAATGGTTTACCAGGGCTTTTCTGGACTTCTCTATGAAATGTTTATGAAGGTATCTTAGTGCTGTCCAGCCATTTAATAATTGGATTGAGAATGTTTGTAAAGTGAAACAACTAGCTTGGTTTCTGTATGTTGCAAGAGATTATGCTTTTGTCCACTTTCCTTGCTTCCCAAAAATACTGATTGCCCAGCTCATTTTGCAAAGACCACAGTCTGCTCTAGTGTAAAATAACACACATTAAAGAGACATAAGTTGGAGAATTTAACTTGGTTGTCCAAACTAGAACATAAGTGCATGCTTGCTCTATTTTGCAGCTGTCCTAACTCCAAAGGCACAGTTCACAAACCACAGTGGAAGAAAACAGCAGCCTATTTATCTATTTACACTTACGCCAAATTATGTAAGCTGCATATTGAATCATCCGATAGTTCTTTTTATGTTAGTATCTCAGTTAAGAAGGGTTTCATCTGTTTTGTAGAATGGATCTTTGTCTTGTTTAGTGTATCTTGTTGTGAAGTTTCCTTGTCATGAGTCTGCAGGGAGTTACCTTAAAACTCCTGGAGGAAAGTTCACAGAAACAGCCTATACTGAATGGACAATTTGCAGAAAGATTTCTTAACTGGTATTCCTAGTGTTCATTACTTTGTTTTATGCATAGGCACCGCTAAGGTTTAATGCTTACTACTTTCTTTGAGATAGCAATACTTGATCTCTTATGCATCTGCCTTCAGCTGAAATGAATTTTAAAAGAGAAAGTTTTGGCTAAGTTATGAATATGCATTTTTTTATGTTAAAACAAATCTTCAGTGATGACACTTGTGGGTGTAATGCTGCTGTTCTCTAGTAAGTTTATTCTTTGAGTGAATATTGCAGATGGCATACTATGCAAGACCACCTACTGATTAGAGGTTGCTGCAGTGCATGAGCAGAATTGAAGTAATGATTGAAGAACCAGATCTGATTTGTTTTGCTTTTATACACTCTTAACGTGCCAAATCCATTGAAGCTTTGGTTCTGCTTGCACATCAGGTTCTGAAATGCCTAAAAGGAAGCACAGGCCATAAAGTAAAATTCCTTACAAACTTCTAGCCATTGTCCTGACATTCTTTGGGCACTATTTGAAACTAGCTGACAAAGAATATATGTCCTCTGAAGAAACCAGTATATTTTAATACTGTGAAAAACTCTGAATTTATTTAAATTTCATTTGTATCCTTTTCTATAAAGAGCGCCAAGCTCTGTTTCTTTCTTGTAAAAGCAGCCATGTGCTGCAGGAGAAAACCGGAATTCCAGTACACCCAGTGCTTTAAAACTGAACGTGATGGGCAGCTAGCTCTAGTGTCTTCTGTTCTGCTTTGCCGGTGACTTAAGGAGGATGTTTTGCATAGCAGTACTAGAGGGGAGAGGGGAACAGGATTTAAGTTGTGATACAGCTCTCCTTGATACTTGGATTACTTAGTCCATCTGGATGTCTTAGTTTCCTAAAGATCAGATCATGAAGCATAGTCACACGAGATTGTTTATAGATGGGCAGCCATCTGTTCCTTCATATTTAATTTTGTCCTTCTGTGCTTTATTTCTAAGATATTGACTTTGTTTTTGAAGCCCTATTAGGAAATTATTTAACTGTTTCTTTATTTGTAGTCCAAGGCCAACAAAGTTTACAGAACGCCCTCGGCCTGGAGTCCAAATGATCTGTTCTTCTTTCAGTGCTGGTAAAAGACTTCCCCCCCACCCCTTTTCTTTCTCTCCCTTGCATCAATAGAAGTAATTTGGAGAGTAAAATGAAGTATAATACAGTAAATGTAGCATATTTCTTGTTAATAAGATGGAATTGAGTTAAAGTAGCTATTAAAAAACCCCAAATGTTTAAAATAGAAATTCAGAATCTATACATTAACTCTTGGTGATTCGAAGTTCTTGAAAACAGTTAAATATAAAATGTTGAAAGTAAGTTTCTTGTGACTGCAAATTTTTAAAAACATGATGTATACCTTTTTGTCAGTGATTCTGAGAGTCGGCTTTATCTAAGATGGAATTTATAGGGATTGGGACAAGAAGGTGTTGATTACCAGGTTTTCATGGTCTGAATTTCATTGATTCCAGAGTTGGCAATTGAAGAATGCAACATAAATAATTGGATAAAATATCAAAGTGACAGAAACTTATTTTCAGAAAGTGTACTGGAGCTCCAGTTCCATTCAATTTTTGTTAAGATTCAGGCTTCTAAAGGCTTAGTCGCAAACAAATTACTGTAGTTAGCTAATCTTTCAGATATGTCGACAGATGGATATTTATCTGACAGCAAATGTGAGGTAATTCAACTCCAGTTAAACTTTTGAGTTTCTAAATCTTGTTTTTACATAAAGGTCAGTTGCAGGCATAGGTGAAATGAGATACAGTTATAAATTTAAGGGAATAAATTTAAGTATTTGATGTTACAGCAATTTGAAAATACTGTAATAACATTAGATTACCCTTTTTTCTTAAAACTTATCTGTTTGTTTTTCTCAGGTGGAATGTTTTTGGCCACTGGGAGTACAGATCACATCATTAGGGTTTATTTCTTTGGATCAGGTCAGCCAGAGAAGATATCGGAGTTGGAGTTTCATACTGTAAATACTTTTTTTAAAATTACATATATATTTGATCAAAATAATAATTTGGATAAATTTGGAATCATACTTGATTTTTTTTTTCCCCCCCTTTTTTTATATAGGACAAAGTTGACAGCATTCAGTTTTCTAATAGTAGTAGCAGGTAAGCACACTATGTATTTATTCAGAGCTAGTTTTTTGACCTTGTGGACATTTGTAAATAATCAGTTTCTGGAAGTAGTTATTAAAAAAAAAAAAAATTGCTTTCTGTTTTGAGATTCATCCAGTAAAATCATAAATACTTGAAATTTCTGAAATGTTTTTTAATGTTTCATTTTAAGTTCTGGATGTTGGATGTGAAGGATGCTAAAGAAAACAGTTCAGTTTATTGTGAAGTTTCTGATGCTTCATTTAATTGATGTTCCAATGTACACTTTTATTATGATACAAATAGTTGTAAACCAAGCTTCATTGTGCTCCACCCACCTTTTTCTCCTCCTTCTACCCCTGCATCCCAAAAAAGGGGAAGAAAAAGGTGGGGGAGAAACTCAAGCTGGGAAACACTTATGCAGATAAGTATCATAATACTCAACACTCAGCAAAAGTGCTAGTTTATTTGGAGTGGGTTTTGTTTGTTTTAAATATTGTCTATACTTCTGCTTGCAGGGCTCTCCTGGCCCTTCAGCTATTTTTACGCCTTAACTTTCTTACTTAGGTTTAGCTGGTGTGGTAGGCTCAGTTTCTCAGAAAGCTCATTGAGTTATAGTGTCCCTCTGCCAGAGCAGTGTCATAACTCAGCAAGGTGCACCAAAGGTCAAAGTACAGTTAGTTCGGAAGGGGCTTGGGAGAGGAAAGCAGGTTCCACTTTTTGCAGGCCTTCAATTTTTTGCTAGTATGGGAAGAGTTTTTCGCCTCAAACCAGTCATACAGCATTCTGACGCTGTTTGGACTTCTTACTTACAGCTTCTTTTTTTGAATTCCAAATTCTGGAACTTACGTTTTTGAGTGTCTTTTCTGTACAGATCTGCCTTTGATCTCTGAGTAATTTTTTTCCCCTTTTGTTAGATTTGTGAGTGGAAGCCGTGATGGAACAGCACGAATCTGGCAATTTAAGCGAAGGGAGTGGAAAAGCATTTTGTTAGATATGGCTACTCGCCCAGCAGGGTAAGTGATGTAAAATGTTCTGCTATCAGATAGATACTTGAAGGCCATTAACACAGTCTGCTGACTTATTTAAAACAAACAAACAAACAAAAAAAAAACGGGGGTGGGGGAAGGCCTTCTTAAATTATTATTGCTTAAATGCACAATATGCTTGTCTAGCTCTTGAAGTCCAATGAAAACAAATACTGGACTACATACTTAGCTGTGGAAACTAGCTTGTCCTGATAATAGCTCCACTAGTGTTTGATTAGATTAAAAGAATAAAAGATACTCAAAACCCATTAAAGGTCAAATTTATATGGCTTTTTACATAGGTATTTATTTCTGGAGCAAGAAAACCAGGTCAGATCTGTTATTGAGACTGCTTGCATTTTAGTAATACTTAAAGGTATTGTGGAATCTGCATGCCCAGAAAAGCAGTATTGGATTCTTTCATACCACGTGCCAGAGCAAATAAATCACTTGCTCTCTAACGGGTTCTCATTTGTTAAAACAATCTAAGAATTTACAAGGCTTTGTAGGTATGGGAAACTTCTGTACACTAGAACAAGCAACAAAAGAGGCTTGAAGATGGAGAATCACTTAGTAGGCTTGCACCTTTTTATTTTGGCATGGAGGAGATGTTTTCCAACTGACATACATTAGAAAGATTTATAATGGGTTTAAGGGGTAAACCTTTTTCCCCTTACTGATCATACTGAGCGGTTTCCAGGATGATATTTAATAGAAAAAAAAATGAAAATGGTTTCAGGAGTAATCCTGTGAAAAGATGTCCAAGAGAGGGATGGAAGAGAAAGCTAAATAAGCTGTAATTTAGTTAGCTGTTTAGATCAGAGAGTATCTTGTCAGTTATGGGCAGATGCAACAAAACATGAATATAAAACTGTTGGACAGGAGTGTATAAAATACTGGTACTTCGAGAACAGACTGAGTTTCTCTCTCTCTCTTCAAAATGCAGGCTGTGAAAATTCTTAGTTTTAACTGATCCTGGAAAAAAATAGGAATGGATTCTTCTTCATTGTGGTCACAAATGCTGAACTTCTTTGAGAAACTGAACTGCTCATTTCAGTGAAGTACCTTTAGCTGAATTCTGTTTTGTCCTTTTGACTAGAGGGATAAGTGCAGTTCCAAATTTGTTCTTTTCTGCACTAGCGCAATTTTATCAAAGAAATGAAATTGCTGCGCTGAAAGAAAAAAGTGAATTCAGCTTATAAAGCCTCCTGGGTTTTGTATTGAATCTAGAAAGGAATCTGGCTATAACATTTTCTATTATTGATTTGTACAATATATACTACTGTGTAATGTATTGTAGTACTTTCTATATGGAAGATTCTATATTTTGTCTGCCTACTTGGTGGTAACATGCTATTGTTGCATTTGGTTGATGTTTTCCCAGAAAATAATGTGCTAGAGAATTCAGTGGTGATTCATCTTTAAACCACACTGACAAAAATGTAATTTTGGAGTATTTTGATAGATTATATTACAGATGGCTAGTGGTTGGTTTTCATAGGGATAAAAATAAAATAGATGCAAGGTTAAGTGCCATTATTACTGATAGTAAAGTGATGTAAGGGTGGTGGTATAAGTACTAAGTATAGCCTGAGAATTTAACTCATGTAAAGGTATCAGAATACTTCTCTCCATATTTATAACTACTTACTACAAATATTCTCCAGGACAAATTACTGTTCACTGGTTGACTAGTTTGGATTTTCGCTCTTCAAATGTCACAATAAATACTGTAGGTATCAAATTTAATTGGGTTAGGTCATGTATCAGAGGGCATTTTCCGGAAAAGCAGATCAACATACTCTTTAAGATATTAAGAGGACCCTATAGTCATTGTTCAAGCATCTACAATTTTTTTTTGTGGTTATATGTGCTACATAATGGAAAACATCTTTCATTTCTCCAGTTTCTTGAAGAAGTAATGCCTCTATTCTTAATAATAAAGCAAAATACAGAGGTATTTTCACTTGTTAGGGACATAAAAATGTTTTGGCAAACTAGGATTGCTTTGAAACTTTTTGCTCTTTTGTTTTAGACAAAGTTTACAAGGAGTTGAAGATAAAATCACAAAACTGAAAGTGACCATGGTGGCATGGGACCGCCATGACAACTCTGTTATAACTGCAGTAAATAACATGACTCTGAAAGTTTGGAATTCTTTCACTGGCCAACTCATTCATATTCTCATGGTAAGGTGTTCCATCTTGATTTGTCAATCCTGAATGTAATATTTACATATACATCATCAAAATTCTTCTTTATGCATTTTTTTTCTGCCTGAAAACTGCCTTAACAAATGTTTCCAGGTAATTGAAATGTAATAGAGATGTCTGTCAGCTGCTTATTAGAAAATAAAGCTTTAAAGTTGCAAATAACCATTGCTGTTCAAGATGTCTGAAATTAATTTTGGACTTTTTTTTTTTCCTAAAGTGCTATGTTGAAGGAGAGAAGGAAACAGTTGTTTCTTTTTACCTTTATTTCATGTGACAAATGTTTTGAAATACTATTAATGGATAAATTTGCCCTGTTTAAACAGAGACAGTTCTGCAACCTAATCGTTCCATGAGTACAAAAAAAAAAGTCTTGTAGCTAGAGTAAATCAAACAACATTTTTACTAATGTCTGATACTTTTTTTAACTGAGAAAATAGGTAACCCTGGGTAACAAGATGCTCCATTAGAGATGGAAATATTTCATGCAAAACTTTAAAATTTAGTATTAATTTTGAAGATGATGTTCTCTAACTTTTAGTTATATATTTGATTCCTTATGGGTCTAAATTAAATTTCTAACTGCTACTCTGCGTTAAAAAAAATTGAAATCTGCGGAGCATTAAGACAAAAAATACTGAATGTTGTGGACTCTAATCTTTTAAAATCATGACGAAAGTATTGGGATGTACTTGTTGTGAAGGTGACATACTTGACATACTTCTTAGGAAGCTAAAATTGCAACTGGAAAGAAAAGAGTGTAAGACACTGCTACAAAAAAAAAGAAATGTGTGGTCAAACTAGTTGTTCTTTGCTGGACACTGTCATAGATTAATATTGCAGATGCTAGTGTTATCATATTGAATTCTTGGGTAAGTATTTGAGACAATCCTCGTGTTCATCGTGCTGTATCTTTAATTTCAGGGACATGAAGATGAAGTGTTTGTACTTGAACCTCATCCGTTTGATCCAAGAGTTCTTTTCTCTGCTGGACATGATGGAAATGTCATAGTTTGGGATTTGGCAAGAGGGGTCAAAGTCCGGTCTTACTTCAACATGGTAATTATTGTGCTTTATGCAGATATGTCAAAGCAACCTTTCTAAACTTTTTGCCTTTAGTACGTTCTTATGTAGGCCAAATGAAGCATGCATTTGTGTATAGGGCAAGATCCTGCATCCAGTGAAGTCAAAAGAAATACCTATTCAGTTTAGTGGGGCAAAGATTAAATCTGTAAAGTGTAAAAAGTTGTTTGGCTGTATGTCATAGTGTCATCTTTCTATATGCTTCATCTACATGAAATTGGAGTGTTAGTTTACATTGTCAGAGATCATGCGTAAGAGACAGGGTGACAGAGACCTTTAGTGCTCTGTTTCCTGCCTGGGGAACCAAGGTGGATCTTGGTTTATTTTTGCATTACTAATTCTTAATCTGGCTAAAGCTCTTCAGGAGTCACCTGATCTCACACAATGTTGTTGCATGCTGCCTTGGCCCATTGGACTGAATACTGTCAGCCCTTCTGTGTAGAGCTCCTCCACATGCAGGTTTCAAATTTGGTCTGTTCTGCACTAAACTAATTCTTCTGGAAGATGGATGCAACAGGTATTTCCATCTGTTTCTTGATACTAAGTGGGTCTTTGTACATATCTTTTTCCTCAAAAAGGTAATGATGCGTTGTGCAATTAAGACTTTGTCTCCTGGAGAAAATTACAAAAGTCTTTGTAGAATATGAAGAATCATTGAGAATGCTGAGAGTAGGCAAATGGGCTTCATCCAGCCTTCAGTCATAGTGGAATGGCAGTCTTGAAAACCAGCATAAAGAAGATCATCTGAAGAAGAGACCTGCCATAGATGTACTCACAAAAAGGGCATTTAGAAATGACGTCAAGCCAGGAAGGTCACTCTGAACCTAAAGAAAGATTTTGAGATGTGCAGTGTACAGTACAGTTCATAAAGTCTCTGAGGAAATTCTTCCAAGCTTAGTGGGAGAGAAAGCAGCCTAGGCTCATTCAGCACTGAGCTAGGTTCAGTATCGTTCCCTCTGCATTGATTTCTGAAACTGAACTTACAAAGGGTCCGAGACAATCATGTTGGAGCTATGAGTAAAGATCTTCATTACTCAGCTGAGGTGTATGTTCTCATTGCATGGTAAGGTTGCGTTTCCACTACTACTTACGATGGATGCGTGATAGTTTTCATGGAATTTAAGGTCAGAAGAGGCTGAGCTCATCTGCCCTTTATAAGACAACTCTATTTAAGAGCTATTCGAACCAAAATTACAAATGCCTGTGACGTTAGGCAACCCCCTGAAAGACTGAAATATTTACTTCAAGGGTACAATGCAACACAAACACCTAAAAAGGGTAAAAATCACATACATTTTAAGATCTTTGGAGTCAGAGAAATGTGTAGACAGTCAGAAGATCTCAGCAGCTAGTAGTCTGTGCTTCATGCTAGAAATGAATGTGAGAAAGTCTGCCTGCTGTGTGAGGTGAGGGGAATTGTAAATCCGGCGATCAGTTTGTCTTCAAACCAATGAATAAGTCATGTGAGCCAGGTATGCAAAAGAGTCATCTCTCCACAGTCTCTGAATATTTCACCAGCCAGTCTTCCATGTCTGATGCTGCAAAAGACGTGGGTGGAAATTAGAGGTTTTCTTAGATGATTTGGCAGGGGGGGAGATGCTTCTAGACCGTGAGGCTTGATTGCGTAGTCACCTCTGCAGAGCTGCAAATGTTAATGTTAAGTGTTCTGGTTTATTAAGGGAGGGCATGAATACAGACAGAGCTGTCAGTCTTCTCCCAGTGTCCTAACTGGCATACTAGCTGGGAACATAATTAGATTAGCCACTATTAAATTATTCTGATAACTGCTGTGACCTTCATTGACTTACTCGATATGTCATCTCATACTTCTGAAAAACAGTATTTGTATGCAGGGGATGGGAAATTTTTACAGATTGGGTTCTTTTGGATCAGACAGGGAATATCATCTGGAGGAACCAAACCTAAGAGTTGAATGACATGAGATCTGCTTTACCATTCAAGAACCTCTTACTATAATTGCCTGACAAAACAGTGTCTGTGGTATCAGAACTAGCACTGGATGACTTTGTCGTAACAAAAGCTCCTTAAAAAAAACTGCAGACCTTGGGGGTGTTGGTTGAATTAGCAAAATCTGAGATGACTCTTAGCTTAATGATAGTCCAGTCAAGTATTCCCATCCTAGATGGATTGCTTGGTACATCTAAAGCCTTTTGGCAAATCCCTAAGGTAGAGTCGGGTATTTTTAAGTCATTCCCCCCCTGCTCCGCCCCTGAATTCCTTCATTGTCAGCGTCAAAAAAAATCAAAATCCAAGGGATGCAAGCAGTGTCAATCAGTTTGAAACTTAATTCCTTTTATCCAGTCAGTGAATGTGAAATTGCAAAGCCGTAGTAACCAAATACGTTTTTTTGTTTTGTATTTAACTTAAATGGGGGAATCAAAGTTTATTTGTGCCTCGCTGGTTACAGATAGGTGCCACTAGGAGACTCTAGTGGTCCTACAGAACATCCTTTCCCAGGTTTTTAAACTTGAGATTTGCTATTAAATCAATTGGCACAGTCACAGTTAATTTGAAGCATCTTTGGTCTGTTTGCCAGATTTTGGTCTTTATATTTAATAGTAAACTCAGTCCCATAAGTGACTGTCTACACACATGGGTTTACACTCAGGAAGTATGTATATATTTTATATATTCCACGCTATCACCTGTAGTCTTCACTTCACTTGATCTAGTTCTGCAAGTATCACATAACTCTGTGTCAGAGTTCATGGGCGTTCAGAACCAGCTTAATTCAGTGACTTCAGTCAGCTAGGCTCAGGGTATCGCTACCCCAAAGAGTGAAATTTGCTGTAGAAATATCAAGTGTGTGAGAGGGTTAAAGCTTTTTGGGCAATTTTGAGATGGAGCAAATAAGTCCTGGGATAGTTTTAAATTGCATGTGCAAATACAGGTGCTTGTTGTTTTGTGGCCGGTGTAATATCCCTGTCAGTCCTGACTTAATACAGCTGCTGATGGAAAAACTCATTCTCAGTGTATTTTTGTCATTCATTTTTCCAAGGAATCAATGAGGTCGTGGCTTTGGTGGTGTCATATTAGGGCAGTTTTACATGCTATATTTCCCAGGTACAAATAAGCATTTAGCAGACTTCTGAAGAAACCAGGGTAATAAACCTTAAAGGGTTGCAGCAGCCAACTGTTTCAGAGCTTATATATTTCACAAAAATAGTGGTTTTGCTACAGAAGGACAGCACAAACCCTTGGAAATGTTTAAATTGTGGCTCATTACCCAGGGCTTAGATTCACTGAAGGACTTGACTGTTGTGGCACCTAAGTTATTGGGGACCAAGGTCCTTAGTCTTCAAAGTAGAATGCAGTATCCTCAGTTTATTGAGCAGTGTAGGAGATTTAGGTGTCTTAGTGGATGATCCAGGAAAAAAAAAACACACAGAGTGGTGGGCTGTCTAGCGAAAACCACTGCGTGATAATCTGTGTAGAGATGTATTTGAAATGCAGTTTCTTACTCAAAGCTGCAATGGGGCATCTGGATCCTTTGTTGTGGTAAGGCATCTTTCCAAGAACTGAGAGGGGTCCCTGCTCTCCTAAAAGGAAGGCACAGGAGAGGTGGCACTCATCTTTTGGGATTGCCCTAACTATTGTTAAGCTATTGAGCTGGGAAATGGAAGACCTAGACTCTGTTCTCTCCTCAGTGGCAAGGTGTTCAGTTTAACATCTCCCGCTTACCCAGGAGGGCATCTCAGCTATAAATGTCTAGGCAGGACTTTATCCAGACTTCCTCTTGATGTTGTGCCACTGTGGAGAGGTGTGAATCTGTAGCCTGTGGGTTTAGGCACTTCCAGGCTTGTTTTCCTGGGTATGGAAATCATGTTCTAGGTAAATTAGAAAGTCATAGAAATGGCCTTTGGCTTCAAGCTTCAGGCAAGCTCTTGAACTTGCAGGATTAGTGCTCTGTTAAGTCATAAATAAAAGCTGTACGCCACTCCGTTGTTGTCATAGGATCTGTTTTCTTTCAGGTGTTCTCACTAAGTTCTTAATAGACCTGCCACTCTTGGTTTACTAGGAATGCCAGGGTTGGCACTTGGATGGTATGTGCTGCAGCTTAGCCTTATGCTTGTAGTTCCTGTAGGCTTTAAGCAGAAGTTTCTCAATTGTGAGAATGTATGAGGGAAAAAGAAAACTACAGGGACTTAAGAATCTTCCAGATCAAAAAGGAGGTGCCTAGTAATGTTAGGTGGATGCACAGGTTTTTGTTTGGTTTGGTGATTGGGTTTTTGTTGGTGTTGCCATTTGGACATTAAGCACTGGTGTTCCTCGAGCCTGACTCCAAACATGTTTGTGGTGTTACGGTGCTGCCCTTTTTTATTTTTTTTTTTTTTTTTTTTTTTTTTTTTTTTTTGGGCTTACGTAGTTTCCTTTAAGCATGCTTTCCTTTAAGCAGTACCGCTGAGCTCTGCTGATTCAGACTGCTTGCAAAAGGTATTCTGCCTGGAGCCTTAGAGTCTGTGTTTCTCCTGTGGTAAAGCCCTAAAGCTCTTGAGTGGGCTGCCCTGTAGAATAATATTTTAAAAAGTTTCCTAAAAGATTTCACGATATGTACAGGCCTGTAGCTCTGTTCTCTCTCTCCCTCTCCCTCTCCCTCCCCCCCTCCCGTCCCCCCTCCCCCCATTATTTGGTTTACAGCATAGCTTTATGAACAGTTGCAGGAACATATGGTGACTGCAGTTACTTATAAGATGTTGTTGAAAGTATGAAAACTGTACTACAGTAGCAGAATGAAAGACTAGAGGAGAGCAGGCATTTTTACAATCATTGTCACTGTAGAATATTGGATTTTTCTACCGTATCTTTCAATGTAATTGCCTTGTCTGAATCTGATACCTGACTCAGCAGATTTTGTAAGTAGGCATTGCAATTATTCCACTGGGAAGCTTGTGTATTAGTTGATAAAGACTGGCCTTACAGTGGTTAAGAAATCCTTGTGTAATGTAGAAATTAAG